TCTCTCTCCTCGCCGCGTAGCATCCCGGTTAGACGCGTCTTCGAGCAGGCGATCGCACATCTGCTGTTCTTTCGAAGGGCTGTTCGAACGAGAACGATGCCGTTTTCACGCAAGCACTCGACAGATACCTCCGCGTTTCTTGCTCGGTTGAATCGGTATTGAATTGAAGGACTGAGTAGCCGACTCTCGTCGTCGAGAAAGAGTTTTTTCAAACGTAACGAAATCGCACGGGGAGCAAGCTTACAGGTAACAATTGACGCACGAACGATCAAATATCTCGAACATGACCTTCAGGACTCTCTCTCTCTTTCTCTCTCTCTCTCGGAGCTATGAAACAAATGTCAGCACGACCTGAACTCTGCCTCTTCTCACTTCTTGGCTTTCATCTCGAACACTTTCCCTACACGTTTTGTATTTCTCTCTTTCGATAAATTTCAATCTGTATCGTCGAAGCTGTTCTTCATTCTTGCATAATCCTATTGCAACTGATATCAACTGGACAACTACTGAATTACGGGAAAGCTGCTTACGCGATAACAAATCGTTCAAACGAAGCATAGAAAGAATCGTTGGACACGATCAGGCCGAGTGTCGCTGGATTCGAGGAAGCGATGGGAAGAGAGTTGATGAACGCGACGAGTCCGAGGTACACAGGATTAAACGATTAGCCTTTAATCGTCGAACCATAGAATTGTCAGAGAGGCACCTGCGAAATCTCGTCCCGACAAAAGAGTCACAGGGCCGCGCGCACTACACCGCCGAGGGGAGGGAAATTGAATTTTTCGCGTACGATAACGTTCTCGGAATTCACCACCAACGTCAAACGCACGGCGCAAATCACCCTTTTCCTGTCTTTCTTTTTCCCTTTTTTTTTCTTTTTCTTTTTTTTTTTTTTTTTTTAATCGAAATGTTCTATTCCAGAATGGCGTGGCTGTTCGAGGCGCAACTCGCAAGACGCGAACGCACACTAGAAATTTTATCGTTTCGTCGGGGTATCAGTGGACCGTATGAAGCTGAGAAAGCTACATGGCCGCGCACCGTTAGCTAAACAGTGGGATAACATTTCTAGAGGGCTTGGATTGCATCTGGAAGCCCGGGACGTCAATAATGACGTGGACGTGCGTCCTACTCGTCAATTAAACTCGAAAGAATCCCTAAATCAATTGTCGGGGGGGAGAGAACTGATTTATTGGTCGAGCCTTCAAGATATAATTGATACCTTTTCACCTGTTTATTTACGTATATAAACGAAATAAGTGAAACGAAATTATCAAATTACCACTTAGGTGATAAACGTTGAGAGATGAGAAAGATTAAAAATTCATATTTGAAACTCTCGTTAACGTGGCAACAGTCGAAACTGTCAACGACGAGGTAAACGAAAGTGAAAAATAATTCGACAGCCAGGTCCTCCTCCGACAGTTTGGCAATTAATCAGATTTAATTCTCCCGTTTGTGACACGCGTGTGCCGAGTTGCCGAGTTGATTCCGTGCCGACCGCGGAAATAGACGCGCGCGCTGCAAAATCAAACAGTGCCCGACGACGACGACGACGACGATGACGCCCGTACGCCGTCGTCGATCGACGCGACGTCGCGACGCTGAAAAAGTTGCGTCCTCGCGCGAAGCCAACCCCAACCACCCACCTGTCCCTTCACCCTTCACCCTTCTATTAATAAAACTTTGTCGGCACGTGGCAAAACCTGCGGCGCGTTTGTTTATTTCAACGTCGTGCGATTCTCACCTGTCTCTTGTCCCTGCCCGCCCCCTTCTCCGAAGAATTTCCAACGAGATTCGCTTGAAACGACGCGTCTAACGCGAAAATGAACGAAGGCTTCGCAATAATTCCGCCAGGAGAAATTCGTTTCGCAGGACAGTAATTTGGAACAATTTTCTCTCTCTCTCTCTCTCTCTCTCTCTGTCTGGATAAATGTTGATTCGTTTCGGGGTTAGAGTTTTTACAGACTTACTTTGCGTCATTTCGAAAAATCTAGGTAAAGCATAAAATACATCCGGCTCAAAAGTCTTGAGTTACTTTTATTTTTAATATTCGTCATACTTCTACGTGTCGTGGATTATCGTGTACACGTGTTTTATCATGCAACATAGTACATTGACAGAATTTTTATCGTAAAGTGCGTTTTATACCTATCGTACGTATTCTATTTAATTTCAATTTAAAATCAAATGCAAGTAAATGTATCTTGTATTTAATTTAATTTTATCGTAATGTAATATAATACAATGTATGTAATACACTGACAGAGTTTCTGTTGCATAAAGTAACTTTCATATTTATTTCATTATGTTGTATATATTGCATGTGTGTGTATATATCTAGTATATAATTTATAATTTACTTATTGTATGTAATCTCTAATTCATGTTTTCATTATACAAATATAGTACTTGCCCCAAGATTTCTGACACACTGCTTCTTCTCGATAGAAACATTTTGCAAAAATAAAAAAACAAAAAAAATGTTTAAATGTTCAAAGGCGGACTGCTTCTTGGCTACTAAAAGAGCCAAATATCGTGATCGATAATTATTGCTTGGTACCCAAATGAGTTCGCTCCACGTTTGTTCGTCCGTCAGGTTGCAACGCGGATGATCGAGAAAATGGCGGGCGCGCGTCTCGCGTGTTTCCACACGAATCGCATTATCGACGGCGTAGTAGTATCGTAGTCGGCTGAAACGGACGGATTCCGTGAGAACCGGGCCGGGGTTCTGAGATAAATTGAATAACGACACGCTTGTTCCAGTGAAATTGCTTAGGCGCACCGTTTCCGAGCTCACGGCTCGATTAAACGCCAATGAAACGACTTTCTCGCAACGCTTGAGCCATCTTCGACCGCGTCAGAGGTGAACAGAGACGATCAGAGAAAAGAGCAAGAATTTTCAGGCCGTTGCTCGTGAAGAGCCAACGTGACAAAGAGGGATAACGAGATTCCTCCGACCATCGATGATGGCTCGACTGTTTTAAACGGAGCCGGGAAACCAGTTAAGAGCGAACAAACGGAGCTGGGAGCCGGCGCTACTCGATCAAGGATCGCGCGCTGATCCCGTTTAATCCGCGTCTTAGTTAACATTGGTGGAAAAGCCGTGGAACATCCTCCGGAGACAGACGGTTAAAGCTTCTTCTTCCTCCCACGTTCCGCTCGCGCGCCCTTTCCAGTCGCAATCCTCTCCACGCATACGTTTCACAACCCCCTTCAGCTCACACGCAGACTTTTCAAGACTTTTCACTTTCTTTCGAGAGCAGCGACACACGGCCGAGAGAAAGATTCGTCGATTGATTTAATTCGCCGGGCGAGGCTAGTCGTTCGACGCACGTACGTATCCACGTGGGCGGTTTTATCAGGCATTTCAGCAGAAATCCGCTCGAAAATGGAAACATCTTGAATTCCAGACTGTAAACGTCATTCGCGAGCTCGGATTGCGATGCTCGGTCTACTCCTACAGCCATCCAATCCCGACTTGGTGGCATACCTTCTATTATTAATGCGTCATAAATTTGTACACTTTGGTTCGAATCCAACTACCGTTGATACTTATAACGCTTAAGTATTTATAATACTAAGTACGAGGCGACGGATTCGCAGAGAAGGATTACTCGCAGCTAGAACATCGGGGAAACTAGAGCCTCGTTACAACATACGTACATATACCACCACGATCGACCTTGGAATAAATCTTCCGTCAAGAATAATACACACACCTGGCGAAAATTTCTCGACTCAAGCGCGAAAATACTCGAATTATTGCGTATAATTCGCGTAGCTGTTTAAAAACGTCCAAGTCTATTAGTTTAAGTTATGGATTACAGGCTAGCTTGGGAAATGTCGTCGTACGAGAAATGAAAATTTAGAAATGTTTCTAAAAATGCTCGCGTTCGTGATCGGGAACTTCTCGGCAGAGGGGAAGCAACTTGTCGGATAAAATGCGAGTCTTTTTAAAAAGTCGTTCTCACGGCACGAGAGAGGCAACAAAGGGAGTTAATGGAGGGTGCCGAGAGCTTTATCCCAGCCGGGTAAGTACCGCAGAGTTTATTATTTTTTCCTGATAACCAGGCTCCTGGTGGCGCCTCGCGACGAGCAACGGAGCAATTCCTTGGAAGCTCGAGCGCGACACGGGATACACTTTAGCCGAGACGAGATCCCAGTCCAAAAGGTCAGGGGTTAATTTGATAATTTCGATTAATTTTACAAGAAGAAGCTTATCCCCGGCAGAGGTAACGATCGTCTCTCTCTCTCCCTTTTCTGCCCGACCTCGAGAGCTCGCGTTTCCCCGTCTCGGCGTGAAAATTGAATTTAAGGAATTACGCGACGTCGTTCCCGACGTCGAACGACGGAGTTTCCATGAATCCCATTAGCCCTTCCTGTAAACGATATACTTCTAATTAACCGGCTCCGATCGAATCGTCGCGATTGAACCGACGATTGGATCCTCCTTCCGCAGGAGTTTGCTAATTTCTTAACCTACTTCAACAAGGTGTGTGAAGTAGGGCTTTGGTAAACGTGCGTGTTTGAAGAGTAAGCTGAATTCGCCTGAACCCACCCAGTGAGAACGAGAATGTTTAGACGACGCGATTCACACGTGTGTCGAAGAGAGAGATTTATTTGAAATCTGTCGGAAGCGCGATATTCCACAGGCGATGCTCTCCTCTGTTTGTCACTTGCTTCCCAAGTTCGATATATAAAAAAAATATATCGGAATTGAACGTCTCGAATACCAATAAGCATACAATAACAGGTAAATAAACAAGTAAAAAATAACTGTGTGTATCGCCTCTGTCTGCACTCTATTTGCTTTGCAAACATTTTTCTTTTCGTACCGCGTACCGCTGTAAAGAGTCAACGATCGAGCGATCTTGCGATCGGCGTGTGTGTTCGCGCGAATCGCAGTCGCGATCGAGCTTCTGCCCCGTTCAAAGATGAAAACGACGAGCACGGTGTTACCGTTAAAGCACCGCGGCGTCGATCGCGATCCCTCGAATGATCGAGCGAGCAACACCGTACACGATTATCACTTGCCGCCACTTCGGGTAAATACGCGCAACACGCTTATCGAGATGGAGTGAAATACGCAAGTAGCCGAGCCGATAAATCTAACGGCACGCCAACCGCGATAACCTAGCTCTCAAGCTAGGAAATGAAGAGGAGACATGGCAAAGGGAAAGACAAAGACCAGATACGAAAAAGAAGGAAAGAGAAAAAGGAAGAAAGAAACCTTGGTGGTTTTATCGATAGCGATTCGAAGCGAGCAACGAAATCCCTTATCGTTTTGCACAGAGTTGGCAGCCCGCGACGTTATCGCAATTGGACAAGGCCGCGAGCTCGTTGCCTGATAACGCACGACTCTCTCTCTCTCTCTCTCTCTATCTTTCTCGAGCGTTGCTCCATGAAAAATACTGTCCTTGTTTCGCTTCTCATTCCATTTCGTCGGTCAAACGGAACGATCTAAGACACTACCAATTTTTTTTTTCTTTTTTTTTTATTGCCCATGTAAACGAGAATAAATCTTGCGAAATTTCTCGACTGTTTTTTTTTCTTCTTTTTTTTTCAGATAACGACGCGTTCGGAAATGATCTGTGGTGATGCATCAATCAAGTTTTCTCCAATTACTAGACTACACAATTCGAAGACTGTACGAATTTTCTAGAAGAAAACTTGTTCAGAAAGCTGAAGCGATCTGAAAATGTGGAAGAAGACTCGGAAGAGACCCTGTGAGAAAAGTCGGCATTGAGTTCCAGAAACAAATTGACAAGAATGACTTTTCTATCGATTATGTTTTATAGAGAAAATTCATAATTATCACGATTGTTCTTTGGAGGGAGAGTCCGTATCCCAAACGACCAGCGTAAAGGGCAATAAACTCTACAAGCGTTTTGACCCTGATATAAATCACGATAGCGAAGAAAATTTAGGAAAATGACGAGACAACTAACGAAAGGACACGCGACGTCCTGCCGTGCAGATGTTCCTAACGATTACGAAAAACTACGAACACTTAAAGAGAAAGTCGCAATGTTCGATGGCTTTGTGAACCATTACAAATAATAGAATGATTTAGAGTCTTAACTTCGTGACACTTCTTAACATTGTTGAAAAAAATTAACTGATTCCAAAAAGAAGAAAAAAATTTCCCGTAATTTTGTGACTTAATAAAGCACATTATCTCATTTTTT